GGAGCCGTGAATGTTTGAGGGCTTTATTGAAATAACTCAAAGATACAAATACCCCAACACTCCAACAAGGACCACAGATTTAACACTAACTGTCGATATCCAGAAAGAGGGATCCAAACTCTGAGGCTGGATTACAGGAATGGTGACATCAGGATTTACTTTTTATAGAAAATACTGTAGACACATAGAGCTGCCTTCCAGCAGAGGTGTTATAGGCTAACAGTGTAAGAGTCAAAGAACACTTCAGATAAGCCCACACATGTCCTGGACATTAAATTAAACTAAAGAGATTTTAGTTAGGACATGGGATTTGTCAAGGTAGAAGAATCCCAGTAAAGGGTCCATGTTCTGTACTAGTGGTAGACCTTACTGGTGTACGTTTAACTGTGTTTAACTATGACACGACCGATATATTTCATCTCCAGCTGTGATTGAGTGAGTTTCACCCCTGGACATTTTGCATCAAAGGTTCACTGAAAACTCCAGCAGAATAATCTCCCAATGAATCTCCAGAAAGCTGTTTGACTCAACAAAGGGTTTGGCTGTAATTTATATCTAGTCTAGAAATTGATGTCAGGTCACTTACCTCCTTGGGCACCAATCTTTATATTCAGAAGAAGGTGTATTTGAGGATTTAAAAGAAAGTGCGTGTATTTCCTTTTACTCTGTTGGAAATGATGGGAAATCAACAGTGACCCTTCAACTTCACTGTCTGTCACTGATTAACTAGACAGACCACAGACAAGTCCCACACTCAGGGACAAAGCCTTCCCTATCACCAGACAGTTACAGCTTGTTACATGTTAGTTAGCAAAGGATAGAACCTAATAAATCCAGAATGGGTTCTAACAAATCCAGAAATCCTTCACTATCACCAGACAGTGACAGCTTGTTACATGTTACACTTTGCCAAGGATAGAACCTAATAAATCCAGAATGGGTTCTAACAAATCCAGAATCGTTCTCAAATGGTTCACCTGATAATTGGTCATTTGCGGGGGTTTTTTTCAGCTTTTTGTTGTTTTTTTAAATAAAATAAATAAAGCAGCATTTATAAAACTCTAACATTAATGAGATACAAGGATCTGGACAAGAATGAATAAAATAATGTCGGGTATTAGAAAGAAGAGCCACATTAGAACATTTCCCATTGCTTTCAGCAAAATATAAGGTGCTCTAGGTATATTTGACTTTACTGTATATCTAATCTCTGCTTTTCTGGCTGGTTTTATTGATAGCATATTATGAGATCTGGAGATTCATTTCAGACAGAACTGCAATTCAGCTGAATTTTGGCCGATCTGGTGAATGTCTGAATTCCTGAACTTCTTGGAGGGAGACAGACACAGGAGTAGCAACACTTGAGGGAGGAAAGACCAGAATTTCAGTTTTGGTCAAGTTGAGTTTAAGGAAGTGGGCAGCCGTCCAGTTTGAAATAGCAGAGAGGCAGTCAGAGACACTAGTCAAGAGGGACGGGGAGAGATCAGGGGAGAACAGATAGATTTGCGTGTCATCTGCATAGAAATGGTATTGGAAGCCAAAAGAGCTACTGAATTTACCAAGGGAGGCAGTATAGATGGAGAACAGTAGGGGGACTGAACTTTGGGGTACACCAACAAAGAGGGGTTAGGGAGAAGAAGCAAAGCCAGAGAAAGAAACACTGGAAGAGTGCTGGGAGAGTTAGGAGGAGCACCAGGAGAGAGCAATAATGGTCTTGTAGACCGATATTGCGGAGGATGAGAAAAAGAGATCAACAGTGTCAACAGCCGCAGACAGGTCAAGGAGAATTAGGATAGAGTAGTGACCATGAGATTTTGCAGCGAGTAGATCATTGGATACTTTGGTCAGAGTGCTTAGCGTGGAAACCAAACTGAAGCGGATCTAGCAGAGAGCTGGATTCGAGGAAGTCTGTCAATCTCACATACACAACTCTTTTAAGGATCTTGGATGCAAAAGGCAGTATCGAGATAGGACGGTAGTTGGACTGGGAGTTAGGGTCAAGGTTGGGCCTCTTTAGCACTGGGGTTACAGTTGCATGTTTGAAGGGTGATGGAAATATGCCAGAAGAAAGAGAGAGATTGAGAATTTTAGTGAGAGGTAGAGAAAGAGAAGAAGAGTACAGATGAGATGCGAGGGAATTGGATCTAGGGAGCAGGTGGTGGGGCGAGAGGACTGGAGCAGAGCAGAAACCTCTTCCACTGTAGCTGGTGCGAATGACCATAGAACAGCATAGGGAGTGAGGTGAGTGGAAGTATTGTTAGTGGAAGAAAGATGAGAGATCTTTTCCCTGATTGTAGAGATCTTGTCAGTGAAGTGAGTTGCAAAATCTGAGGTGGTCAAGTTAGTAGGTGGAGGAGGAACAATAGGGCGAATAAGAGAGTTCAATGTGTGAAATAGTCGTTTGGGTTCGCAGGAGAGTGTGGTTGTAACGGCACCCTCAGCATAAAAGGGTTAAACCGCCATTTAGTAGATCTTCCCTTCCATTGACACAGGCACAGCTACTGCAGAACACCAATCCGCCGAACAGGAAACCATATGAATGCTGTAAACAGCCGAATAGGAAAAACCATATGAACAGGTTTACACTCCTAGCAGTCAAACTGGAACAGCATACAATAAATCCCTCCAAGAACGAGACAAAGCTCCGTGTTGAGGGTCAAGCAGTGAACAGACAGAGCTGTGGGTTTATTGTTCTTATATACACATTCTTACATATTAGTACCACCCACAGGGTTTTGGAAAACAACCAATAAACACGTACAATACATTCAGACACTCCCACACAAACCCTCTCCTCTGCCTGTGATACAATTACCTTACACAATGGGTAATGTAATTATAACAGCCAGAGAAATACAGTTTTTCCACATTATTCATAACTTTAAAAGTATACATCACATTCACATACACACACTTACATTTTCAGAATCAGTATACTCCAAATACAAACATATGTCAAAATCATCCAAATTGGTCCATTGGTTCAAAAGATAGATCGAAGTCCTTTGTGACCAAATGAAGCATGGCTTTTCTGCCCAAAACCAGTTCCACAGAGTCTTCTATCCTGGAGATAATTGGGAAGTAATCCAATTATCTCCAAGGACAGAGGCAAAACCCATTAGCCACATGGTAGCAAAATACAATAAAATACATAAAAATATATAACTGTGCAGCTATTGCATAAAACAGGTACATTCAACATATCCCCAGATAGCTTAGATCTGAGCACACATTATTACTGAATGGCGCTCAGATCACATACATACAGTTCAATTGCCATGGAGCCAAAGTCTTTCACATAGTCTTTCATTATACAAATGGGCTCCATGGCATAGCTATCTGGGTAACATTGCTCACATAGGGAAAGTACCGAAAGACCCAGCTTTTGGGTCTTTGCAGGGGAAAATCCATCCTTTCAACATGGGGCCATAGTCACAGGGCAGGAGGCCAGCAATCAGTCTTCTCCAATGCCCAGTGGCGAGGCTGGTTCCGCCACATTTCTCCCCTTTCCCAAAAAGACTAACAAGGTATCTGGCCTCCTGTCGGTCAGTGCCTTGGTTATTCCAACAACCCACCCACAAAACAGAATCCGCAGTATAACCCACCCACGAAAATTGGTTACTACACCTGGAGTAGTGGGTCGCTTGTCCAGGTCCAGGAGCTCCACCTTGGCTCTGGGGGGTACTAGCACTCTGGATCGATGGGTTGCTGGGTGGGCAGAGACCAGCGGTACTCTGTCCTGGTGCCAGCGCTACCAAGGGAGTAGCCTGGTTGGAACCCAGGTGAGGGAACGGAGTAGTAGGCTCCTCACTCCAGACCTGGGTCTGCTGCTGGAGGGGAAGACAGGATGTCTCTCCTTTGAATAAACAGCCATGCTGCAGGGGGACAGGACCGACTGTCCCTACACCCTGTGGTTTGGGCACAGAGACCATGGTCCCATCTGCACCGGTGTGGGGCTTATCATCCCCCCTCTCCCCTAGGCTGCTGCTGGGGAGAGGGGGTAACAAGCTCCTCTCCCATACATCCTTTCAGCCGCTGGGGAGAGGGGATAACAAGCTCCTCTCCCTGACACACTCTATGCTGTTGGAGAGGGAGACCGACTGTCTCCCCTTTCAATAATTTGTCCTGTCGCTGGGGAGAGGTGATAACCAGTTCCTCTCCCTGAACCACTCTCTGCTGTTGGAGAGGGGGACCCGCTCTCTCCCCTTTTAATATATTGTCCTGCTGGTGGGGAGCAAGACCGACTGTCTCCGCTTCCTGCAGGACACACTGCTGCTGGGGAGGAAGGACTGCACCTTCCGCTCCCTGGGAAACATACTGCCGCTGGGGAGGAAGGACAGCACCTTCAGCTCCCTGGGACTCACTGGACTGCTGGGGAGAGGGACCAACTATCTCCTCTCCTAAGGACACACACTGCCGCTGGGGAGGAAGGACGGTTCCTCTCCCTGAACCACTCTCTGCTGTTGGAGAGGGGGACCCGCTCTCTCCCCTTTTAATATATTGTCCTGCTGGTGGGGAGCAAGACCGACTGTCTCCGCTTCCTGCAGGACACACTGCTGCTGGGGAGGAAGGACTGCACCTTCCGCTCCCTGGGAAACATACTGCCGCTGGGGAGGAAGGACAGCACCTTCAGCTCCCTGGGACTCACTGGACTGCTGGGGAGAGGGACCAACTATCTCCTCTCCTAAGGACACACACTGCCGCTGGGGAGGAAGGACGGCACCTTCAGCTCCTGGGATACATACTGCCGCTGCCCAGCATCCCTGTAGGGCCTGTAGAGAGATCTCGGTCCCATCTCCACCTGCCATCTGTGGGTCTCTCCCGAACCAGTCCATGAGGTCCCCTGCTTCTGCAACTGGTAGTGAAGCAAGGAGTACCTCGGCTGCATTTTCCCAGCTGTAGGTTGGCAGGTCTGGGTTCGCCACCCAGGTTTCCTGTTCTGCGTCCATTCTCTGTGGCTGACATGAGTTCAGTAGTTCCACATAGTCCATCTCTAGCTCTCATTCCATGGCAGCGAAACGGCGGATGTCTTCTCCCAGTCCAATAGATCTCGGGCCCTGTAACATCTCACCTCGGTAATGAAAGATAGCCCAGTACCGTGACTCTGCTGGACTGCCAAAGTCGACGTCTTCTGTTAAGGCCTTCCACAACAGGCCAGGGCTAGTGTAGTTCTCCCCCTCCGGCTGGATGCCCTCTGCCCTCCACGTCTCTGGCTGGACAGTGCACCACCACAGTGCCCGGTATGAGGCGTCAAGGCTCAGTTCCCGTTCCACGAGGTACTCAAGTTGTCTGACCTGTTGTCCACCAGGCCATTTGTTCCTCCAACTGGTATGCGACACCAGGAAGGCGCTGCTGCCGTTGATACTGGACTTCCACCAGGGCATCGTACCATAATTCTTTCTGGGCAATATCTCTCCAGTCTAATTCACTCTCTTCCTCAGGTGTGTGTGTTGCCCAGGGGTCCCCGAACCCCATTTTCCCAAATCTTTGTGTAGACAGGGACGCTGTATGAACACTAGCGTCGCCTTCAATTTGTAAATCCACGAACTGTGTCTCCGAGCTGCTTTACCTCGCACTAGGACGCCATCCCACCGCTGCCACCAATTGTAACGGACCGTTTCAGCATACAAGGAGTTAAAACCGTTTAGGCGATCGTCCCCTTCCAGAGATGCAGGCACAGCTACTGCAGAACACCAATCCGTCGAACAGGAAACCATACGAATGCCGTAAACAGCCGAATAGGAAAAACCATACGAATAGGTTTACACTCCTAGCAGTCGAACTGGAACAGCATACAATAAATCCCCCCCAAGAACGAGACAAAGCTCCGTGTTGGGGGTCAAGCAGTGAACAGACTGGACTGGCACATACAGCCTCTTTTATTCCCAATCCACAAACTTAGAACTGCCCACAGGGTTTTACATAACAATCAATAACACACGTACATTACAGAAAGACACTCCCACACAAAATCCTCCCCTCTGGCTGTGATATGATTACTGAACACAATGGTTAATCTATTTATCACAGCCAGAGAAATACAGTTTTTCCACATTATTCATAACTTGAAAAGTATGCATCACATTCCCATTTTCAGAATCAGCATACTCCAAATACAAACATATGTCAAAATCATACATATTGGTCCAGTGGTTCAAAAGTTAAGGAAAAGTCCTATTTGACCAAATGCAGCATGGCTTTTCTGCCCAAAACCAGTTCCACAGAGTCTTCTATCCTGGAGATAATTGGGGAAGTAATCCAATTATCTCCAGGACAGAGGCAAAACTCCATTAGCCACATGGCAGCAAAAGACAATAAAACACATAAAACATATAACTGTGCAGCCATTGCACAAAACAGGTACATTCAACATATCCCCAGATAGCTCAGATCTGAGCGCACATTATTACTGAATGGCGCTCAGAGCACACACATACAGTTCAATTGCCATGGAGCCAAAGTCTTTCACATAGTCTTTCATTATACAAATGGGCTCCATGGCATAGCTATCTGGGTAACATTGCTCACATAGGGAAAGTACCGAAAGACCCAGCTTTTGGGTCTTTGCAGGGGAAAATCCATCCTTTCAACATGGGGCCATAGTCACAGGGCAGGAGGCCGGCAATCAGTCTTCTCCAATGCCCAGTGGCGAGACTGGTTCCGCCACAATCAGGTAACCATGGTAAGCTGCTCCGTTGGAGCCTTATCCTCCAACAGTATAATTTCACTGTCCAACACAAAAAGGGCAGCTTGCATGGGAACGCAGATGGTCTGTCTTGGCAACTAGAGGGTTAATGGTAGACAGATAAATCAGCCTGTGGCTGAATTTTTCTGTCCACCATTGTGACGAGACCAATCTCGCCACATTGCATTGGAGAAGCCTGGTTGCTCGCCTGCTGCCTTTGGACTATGGCCCCCTTTTAAAAGACTTTATTTTTGCCTGCAGAAAAGCTGTATTCGTGCTTTTCTGCCTGGGGTTCAGTAGATTTGTTTGAATGTGTTATACCCCAGATAGGAATCCCATGGAGCCCATTTGTATGAAACTGACTGTAAAGACTTTGGCTCCATGGCGATTAAACTGTATTCGTGTGGTCTGAGCGCCATTCACTTAATAATGTGCGCTCAGACCTGAGCTATCTGGGGATATGTTACATGTCTGTGTTTTATGTAATAAATGTGACTTTATGTATTTTAAAGTGTTTTGTGTCTTTTTGCAACCATGTGCTTAATGGAGTCTTGTGTCTATCCTGGGAGATAATTGAATTACTTATCTCCAGGATAGAAGACTCTGAAACTGGTTTGGGCCAGAAAGCCATGCTTCATTTAGTCACAAAGGACTTTTTACTAACTTTTGAACCCCTTGTCTGATTTGTGCCATTTTTGAATATGTTGTTCCCCTGAATGGATTGATTGTGCATATGTAATTTTATGTGAATGTGATGTATGGTTTTAGAGTTATGAAAGTTGGGTAGAAAGTATGTTTTAACTGTATGTATAATTGAGTTTCCTCTCAGGATAAGGGGAGGGAATATGTGGGATGTAACTGTGATGTGATTGGTTGTTTTATACCTCCCTGTGGGCGGTCCTGTATTTGCAAGACTGTAATAAAAACCAGGCTGGGTGTGCCAGCACCTCAGACCACTGCTTGACCCTCAACACGGAGCCTTGTCTCGTTCTTGGGGGGATTCACTGTATGCTGTTAGAGACTGATTGCCAGGAGTGTAAGCTTATTGTCTGCTTTTCCTGTTCGTCTGCTAGCAGCTATTTGGGAGGTTCCAGTTCGGGAGTTGGAGTGCTATTTTGTATCCAGTTCAAGAGTTTGGTGTTCTGCAGTAGCTGTTCCTGTATCTCTGGAAAGGGGGCTGATCGCCTAAACGTTTTTTTTCCCCTTTTTTGCAAAACGGTCCGTTACAATTGGTGGCAAGCGGCGGGATCGTTCCTACAGCCAGAAGGACAGCTACAGGAGACACCATTTCTTTGGATTTTACAATTTGAGGGCAACGCATGTCCCAGTACAGCGACCCTGACAGCACCAGCATGGAACCAGCAGTGGAGTATGACGAGGGTGCCATGGATGACCGAGATGCAGTCCGTAAAGGCATCTGGTACCAGGCACTGGGTATTGTGGAGTACCAGCGGGGCAAGAGACTCCCCAAGGAAGACCAGCGGTTGCAGAAGCGAGTAGCCCTGCGGATGCCCTTCCTGGGAGAACAGCCCCTGGATGAATGGGTGAAGGAATTGGAGCACCGGGTATGGCAGGAGATTTGGCTGGAAGATGCCTACCAGGCGCTCTGGTGGTATGGGGCACAGTACCTACCCTGGACAGCCGAGCATGACAAGCCAGAGGGAGAGGAGTTTGATGGTCCTGGCTTGTTATGGGAGTCATTTTCAGAGCTCGAATTTGGGAGCCCTACACAAGCCCGGTTCAGTGATCTCTTGGAGTGGAGGGAGAGCAGGTATGACTGGGACGACACTCACGAAATTGAGCAAGACCTGGTCCACCTGGTAACCCGGGAGATGGAGCTAGAACAGGGCTACCAGCAGCTGTTCCAATACAGTGAGAAGGCGCAGCGAGAGAGCAGCATGACAGACCCAGAGCCAGACCCATTCAGAGGGGACGAGATGGTACAGTTTTACTGGGAAGAACCCCAGGTGGCCGGTAGAGATGGGACCGAGGTCTCTCCACCGGTCCTGCAGGGAATTGGGAGCCCAGTCTCCATTCCCCAGCGGCAGTGTAAAGTGCAGGGAGAGGAGAGCAGCGTCCTCCCTCCCCAGCGGCAGGCTGAGTTACAGGGGGCAGAGGTAGTTGTTCCTGCCCCCAGCAGCAGAGTGATATGCCGGGAAGGCAGTGTAAAGTGCAGGGAGAGGAGAGCAGCGTCCTCCCTCCCCAGCGGCAGGCTGAGTTACAGGGGGCAGAGGTAGTTGTTCCTGCCCCCCAGCAGCCAAGTGATATGCCGGGAAGGCAGTGTGAAGTCCAGGGAGAGGAGAGCAGTGTCCTCCCTCCCCAGCGGCAGCGTGATTTTTTGGGAATTGGGAGCCCAGTCTCCATTCCCCAGCGGCAGTATGATGCTTTGGGAATTGGGAGCCCAGTCTCCATTCCCCAGCGGCAGCACAGATCATTGGGAATTGGGAGCCCCGTCTCCATTCCCCAGCGGCAGAGTGTCCTACCGGGAATAGAGAGCCCAGTCTCCTTTCCCCAGCAGCAGGACTCTGTATTGGGAGCAGAGACAGTCGGTCTCCCTCCCCCGCAGCTGGAAGTATGTATGGGAGAGGAGCTTGTTACCCCCTCTCCCCAGCGGCAGCTTAATGTACCAGGGGGAGACAGTAAGCCCCACAACCGTGCAGATGGGACCGTAGTCTCTACACTGCCAGCACAGGGGGTAGGGACGGTCGGTCCTGCCCCCCAGCGACAGGGCTGTTTAGCCAAAGGGGAGACAGTCGGTCTCCCCCTCCAGCAGCAGAGATGGGTAACCAAAGGGGAGACGGTCGGTCTCCAGCAGCAGGACTGTGCATCTAAAGGGGAGACAGTCAGTCTCCAGCAGCAGCAGCAGAGCGGTGTATTTAAAGGGGAGACAGTCGGTCTCCCCCTCCAACAACCAGGCTTCCACCAGGCTACCCTCCCAGTAGCGCTGGCAACAGGGCAGAGTGCCGCTGGTCTCTGCCCACGCAGCAACCCACCAAGTCAGCGTACCCGTACCCAGCACAGCCGTGGTGAGGCACCTGGACATGGACAAGCTTCTCCTTTACCCAGGTGTAGTAACCATTTATTGTGGGTGGGCTGTGCTGTGGATTATTTGTTGTGGGTGGGCTGCTGGACTAACAAGGGCACTGACCGGCAGGAGGTCAGATACCCTGTTAGTCTGTTTGGAAAAGGGGAGAGATGTGACGAGACCAATCTCGCCACATTGCATTGGAGAAGCCTGGTTGCTCGCCTGCTGCCTTTGGACTATGGCCCCCTTTTAAAAGACTTTATTTTTGCCTGCAGAAAAGCTGTATTTGTGCTTTTCTGCCTGGGGTTCGGTAGATTTGTTTGAATGTGTTATACCCCAGATAGGAATCCCATGGAGCCCATTTGTATGAAACTGACTGTAAAGACTTTGGCTCCATGGCGATTAAACTGTATTTGTGTGGTCAGCGCGCCATTCGCTTAATAATGTGCGCTCAGACCTGAGCTATCTGGGGATATGTGAAATGTCTGTGTGTTATGTGTAAAATGTGACTTTATGTATTTTAAAGTGTTTTGTGTCTTTTTGCAACCATGTGCTTAATGGAGTCTTGTGTCTGTCCTGGGAGATAATTGAATTACTTATCTCCAGGATAGAAGACTCTGAAACTGGTTTGGGCCAGAAAGCCATGCTTCATTTAGTCACAAAGGACTTTTTAC